ATGGTTCTCTTGATTCGACCATAATTCAACCAGCTTCAGTAGAAATTCAACCAGCAGCCACCCCCAGTACTCTATCTCGTCGACTTCCAGGCTTCAAGCACTCTATCTTAGTGCCCTAGTATGAAGAGCAAGCTCATATTTTTGCTTTTTAAAATTATAAATATGGCTCCAACACATCATTTGTGTTGATTATTAATATATTGTTACCTTTCTAAGAGAAATGAACAAGAAACAAAGGGAAGGACCACACGTTTATTGTAATTTTGCTTCGTTTGTGCTATGAATAAATTAGTAAAGGCTTAGATACCATTATATTTAATAAGCTAAACTACTGAAATTGTTCCTTTGCATCTAAACCCAGACAATCATATAGTCATCTCAATGAAATTTGATATCCTTGTATGATCTATGTTATAGATAGCAAGAGTTACAGTGGCATATCCATTAGAACTATCCTACAATGTGTTCTGCTTTTTTCACTCTACAACACATGACACACTAAATCATTTTTATTTAGGCGTTAACAAACATGTCTGTCTGGACTCAATGTGTAATTTCCTATTCTGAATTTGTATGCTAGGCGGTCAGCAAACAATTAATGCACGCAATATAGATTGAATTAGGCCGATAAACCGATACCAATCCGTCCGATAAGAGCTAAACCGATACCAATCTGCCCGATATTTTATCGGATGGCTAGCGGATTAATACATTTAAAAGTCGATAACCGTTAAGCCAAACCGTTAAGAATAATTAATCGCCCAATCCGCCCGATAAGCGGCCCTAATTCAAAGGAAAGAAAATAATACTATAGGTATCTTCTATTTTATTTTGGAGAATTTTTGTGCTATATATTTTGTGAAAAGTATTGTATAAAATTTAACGATAAAATTGTAATTTGGTACTACAGCCCAACACGTGGAGCCAACTTTGACAACAGTTAAGTCACCGTCTGATTTCTCTTCCTCCCAGGCTCAACGTGTTCTGAAAAGCTCCATCTGCGAACACCTCTTCTCTCATACCTCTACTCTCACTCCTCCCCTCCATCCATTGTTATTTTCTACTGGGTCTTCAAAAGCTGTAAGCAAGAGGACCTAAAAGCTTAGTCATTTAAGTTCTCCAGAAAAAATCCTCAAGCTATAAAGGCTTACGACAACAGCAAAACTAATTGAAGCCAGATCTAAAAGTTTTCGTTTGCTGCCCGATTCAAACATGACAGTAGCATCAACTACCAAATAAACGTATTCCTCCGACTTACTGAGATCCACCTGCAAATGCCACCCAAGGTATTGAGAGAAATATCAATAGAAATTACATTTTCGATCTTACTTGATTTTCCTGAAAATAAACTCAAATTATTTTCTTGTATTTCTCTATGCCTTTTTCAGTTATTACTCACAATTGGTGCCTATTTGGTTTACCTATGCTGCCATTTATCCTCTACTGTATTTTCTTCGGAAGTCGTCTATAGAGTTTTTACTTTCTCTCCCATTTTAAGGGTGTGAATGCATCTGGTTTTTGTTATATAAGTGTAGGATTTTTTCTGCTCTCACTCCTCCCCTCCATCTGTGCTTCTTGTATTGATTTATTTCAGTCCTTGATTATATGCTAGGTCTTTGTGTTTTTCCCTGAGTAGTGAGGGGATTCCTGTAAATAAAGTGTAACATGTTAATAAATTTTGTTCTCTAGGTGTTTGCGAAAATTCTTCAATCGGATTTTCTATAAGATTTCTTATGCATGCTCTTGTCTTTAGTCTCAAGTTTCATCCATTGGTTTCATTTTGAGTAAGGGCTGCCATGTACTTTTTTAGTCCCCAATTTTCAACAGTGATTCTGATTCTTCTTTTTACTTAGTCTTTTTTGTTTCTTCCGCGTAGTTAGACTGTTGATTGTGCCTTTATATTTTCTTGTTTCTCGCTGCATCATTTTAATTTCTGACATCACTGTTAGCCGCTGTTAAAGGGGTATTTATTTAGATTTTTCTGTTGCGGAAACAAACTTCGTGAAGAAGAAGAAGAAGACCCAGTGATTAGTAATAGAAGAAAGAAGAAGAAGCCCCAGTGATTAGTAATTTTCTTTCTTGAATGAATACCGTGACATATGAACTCTGTGCTACCAAATTATTATGCAACATTGAAAATTGATAATACATTAATATAGAATGAAGAAAGTATCACCAAATGAAAAGGTCTCATAAATATCGAACCACACAAAGGAACATGGTGTTTTGCTTGGACAATTTAGGTTACTATTAGAAACAATTGCGAAAAACATTAACATTAAACAACTATTGGGCTCGTGCAGCACCCCACTAATTTTATTATATACTATATATAAGAGGGAATAAGCAGGCAGCATGTCAACATGCCTGCTTGCCAATCAGGGATAAAATTGGAATTACTCATTGGATATGCTTTATTGAGTACTACTTTGTTACTTTAATTTTGGTACATTTCAGTAAGGGCTTAGATTACGACAGACCATCGTGGGGGCCTTTTTGGAGAATTCAGGTGATCTAATGATGTGATATGTGCCCATTTGGATGCTTTTAGTGATTACATTAAAATAAAATTATTTTAGTGGCTGGAAAAAACGGTTACTATAGCTACTTATATACGTCTTAGAATTCCCTTTGAAATGTGGTCCTTGCGTTTTGCCTGGGGTGTCAATGAATATTTAAAAACTGACTAACTGACCGAACCATATCGTACCGAACCGATTTTTATGTTTCTTTTAATAAAATTGTAGGTTTTCATGTAAATCTACAGCCGTACTGATAATCAGAGTAGGTTTTTATTTTATAAAAATAAATCGAAAAAATATCGAACTGTACCGAATAAATTTACATATGAAAAATATATTTATATATTAAGTTTAAAAATAATAGAGCATTAAATTTTTACTTGGGTTTTGAAATTATGAAAACAGTTAGAAGCCAACAAGTAATGAAACTCAAAATCTTAATTCCCAAATCTATTATGCTACTCATATTGAAACTAAATTTTCAGCATATTCACTAGCAAGACACAAGGTATTGTAGCGACTATGATGAGCAAATTACAATGTATTGAATATATTTTCTTTCGTATGATTTATATTTTTTTTGTATTTGCTTAGTTTCTTTTACATTGTTGTAGAATAGTTGATAGATCTATACTCTGGTCATCTTTCATATTTTCTTAATTCATTATCTTTTAAACTGTAAAAATATCTAGAGTGTTTTGCTAAAGTCCTATAAATCACGTATGTTATTGCATTCTACTTCTACTAATGACTTTTACATGATATTTTAAAAAATATCGAAAATTAACTGAACCGTACCGATACCGAAGAGAAACCGACATGATTGAGACAGTTTTTAATTTTGGTTATACATAATAGAATAACCAAAAAATTGGTATGATACAAATTTTATAAAATAACCAGCCGAATCGTACTATTTATGTAATGATCCAACCGGTCATTTTGACTTTTAGAACCCCGTTCTCTAAAATAAAACTTTTCGTATGTGCCTTTAATGATTTATGACTTGCAAGGATGGTTGGTTCGGGATTTGAAAGTGTTTGGGTTGAAATCGGAACACTTGGTTCCTTAAGTTGGCTTTAAAAGATCAAGTTTGACTTCGGTCAACATTTTGAGAAAACGTCCTCGGAATAGAATTTTGACGATTCCAACAGCTCCGTATGGTGATTTTAGACTTAGGAGCGTGTTCGAAATTTTATTTGGAAGTCCGTAGTTAAATTAGGCTTAAAATGGCTAAAATAGGAATTTAAGTTTGGAAGTTTGACCGAGGAGTTAACTTTTTGAAATCAGAGCCGGAATCCAGTTCTGAAAATTTTCATAGCTCCGTTATGTCATTTATGACTTATGTGCAAAATTCGTGGTCAATCGGACTTGATTTGATAGGTTTCGACATTGAATGTAGAAGTTGGAAATTTTAAGTTTCATTAAGCTTGAATTGGAGCATAATTCGTGATTTTAGCGTCGTTTTATGTGATTTGAGATTTCAAATAAGTTCGTATGATGTTTTAGGACTTGTTGGTATATTTGGTTAAGGTCCTGAGGGCCTCGGGTGAGTTTCGGATGGTTAATGGATCAAAGTTGGACTTAAAACAGCTGTTGCAATTTTTCCTTTCTGTTGAAAATTCTGGGCTGTGATCGAGGCCCAAGATCGAGGCCCTGGATCGAGACCCAAGATCGAGGTCATGATCGAAGGCCCATGCTCGAGAGCCATGATCGAAGACAAAGGCTCGAGGGCCATGATTGAATCCACGATCGAGGCCGAGGATCGATGTCATGATCGAAGAACCCAGGCTCGAGGGCCATAATCAAACCACGATCGAGGCCGAGGATCGAGGTCATGATCGAGGGCTGCCTGGGCAGAATTATAAAGGAGAGCATTCTTCTCATTCGCCATTTTTAACAAATTGGAGCTTGAGCAGAGGCGATTTTGATAGATTTTCAAGGAAAAGACATTGAGGTAAGTGATTCTAACTCGGATTTGGTCAATATACACGAATATATCATTGATTTCACCATTTAATTAGTTTTTTGAGATTGAAATTTGAGAAATTTTTAAAAATCTCATAGAAACGAATTTTTGAGATTTCGGTATCGATTCAGAGTCGAATTTGAGTGAAACTGGTATGGTTGGACTCGTAATTGAATGGGTTGTCAGATTTCGTAACTTTTGCCAGATTTCGAGACGTGGGCCCCACTGACGAATTTTTAATTTATTTCGGAATTTTTATTGAAAATGTAGTATTTTCTTATGAAATTGATTCTATAATTTTTGGTGACTGTATCGAATTATTTTTTGTTAGATTCGAGCCACTCAGAATTGGATAATCGAGGAAATGGTCTACTAGTAGATTAAATTAGAGCAAGACGAGGTAAATCTCTTGTCTAATCTTGTGAGAGGGAAATTATCCCATAGGTAATTAAAGCAATATTTATTGCTAATTGTTGGGGTTACGTACGCACGAGGTGAAGAGAGTCCGTGCGTAGCTACTGTTAATGCTAAAGTCCAGGTAGTTTAGGACTCAAAACATGAATTACTTGTGTAAATTGTATTCT